GAACAAGCCTTGGAAATGCAGCGTGTTGTGTGTGTGTGTGTGTGTGTGTGTGTGTGTGTGTGTGTGGTGTTATATTCTATCAGTGGTTATAAGTAGAATATCTTTGTAGGCTTCCTGAGTCTAAATCTACTGTTTTATACAATAAACCTGATGCATTCCTCAAGTGATTGAAGTCCCAGCACCCTCGGTTTCACAGCACATATTGTATTCAAGTTTCAGTCCTTGGATACTTCTTTACTCTGGAGAAAGTTTCTATGCCCACATATATGGCTTTCATTTGGAATTTTCTTGAATAATCTTGATGATGGGTATTTTTCAAGGAAAATCCGATGTACCAAACACCAGGATAGATATTTAGAAACATAATTTCTCATTTTTCTTAAACTCTGGCTTTAAAATAAGAATTTTACCAGGTTATTTTTTCTTTAAATATTATTATGTATTCTTTAAATATTATTATTATTATTATTTAAATATAAAAATTATTAAATATTATTATTACGCAATGAGAAATCTATTACATTGTATTAAGTTGGCACTTGTTTCATTTTATTTGTCTTTTACAATTTCTGTTCTTAAATTCTGGCAGCTTTATCTCTCAGATAATCACTTCCTCTCAAAAATCTATTTTTTCTTTTCTGTCATGTTTTCAGCCTGTGAGATACCCAAGTATTCTGAACAATAACTACAACACTAATGAATACTTTGAATAAATAAAAAGCAAATAAAAGATGAAATGGTGACCTAAACCTAGATCATTCTTCCTTGGCAGGGCCCTAAATGGGAGGTGGCTAGGAGATGAGAAGATAAAGACAGAACACGTGGGATCTGTGTCTTGTGCCAAGCAAGCTTTTAAGAAGTACAATGCCCTATATACTATTTTCAGGAGATATATGAGACAAAGTCAACAGAAAATAATCATACAATAGGACACAGTCAGAGGGAAGATAAATCAAACAATGTTGTATCAGGGAGCACAGAGTTTCTCAAGAACATTATAGACCAGGCACATTAGTAACCTTGGGACTAATAACCATAGTCCTGTAGGATGGGACAAGCTGGGTTCTCTGAATCCAAAGCCACAGCAACCCCAAGGCTCTGGCCCCAGACCATTATAGTTCTGACAATCATGTTACTGGTTTTAGATAACTCAGTGATTTTCTTCTTCATACATCATGATCTCAGCAAAAGCTTTGGATCAGTTCTGCCCTCAACAGAATGGCATATAATTCTGATAAATGAATAATAATTGGGATACTCTAAGTAACTCACCTGAAACCTTTATGAGACACATTCACTAGAAAAACTGTAGACTCTAGCTGGAAATTCACTGTGACATATAAGCCAACATTTCTAGCTCCTTGGCATCCTATTGAATATGCAATTATTGATGTAGTAGATACAGTAAATGTTTATGGGTGGCTGCTGCTGTTGCTGCTGCTGCTACTGTTTTCTGTGTAGTAAACGACTCTGTGTGGCAAAGTAACTGTATTAACAGTTTTGGGGTCTTTAAATGTAAAGTAATTAACAATGCTATTTGTACTTTGAGAATCATTGACTCATATAACAGCACCAAACCCTATGATTTCAGTAATTCCTAAAATGACTTGTTAATGTACTAACCACGTGACTTGTGATTGAATACACGCTAGAATATGCAAGTTCATGAATGATGCTCTATCACACTGACACTTAAAGTAAGTCAGAGACACCTAAGGAGTTATTAAATCAGATTCTTCATATAAACAAGTCCTAGAAAGCTTTTGATTTAGACCCAGAAACCTATAAAGAAACCTGTTCCACTTCAGTGACCCACTCGGTTTCAATCTTCAGATTGGGAGGTTATTGTTGTGATACTACTAGTATCTAAGAGAAATAAAATGATATTTGTTTTATCGTGTTTATTAAACCTTTGCTATAGATAGAAGGTTTCTAAGAATTTGGAAAAGTAAAGATATATAAGGAAGTCTTTTTGAAAACTATAGGCATCTGTAGAATGACGGCTATAAAATGTTCACATGCTGATGAAAAGATGGATTCTCTGTATGTGCTGACATAACACAACAGGAAAGAATTCTGGAGCCTACAGCTGCTTCCCTGTGGTTGATGATGAGGCTATTGTTCCCCACGTACTGAATGACTCTTCGTGAAGAAGTAACTATATCAACAACTTTCAGTTCAACAGGTAAGCTCCCCCCTACCCAAAGGTAGCATAAGCACAAATAATGAAACAGCTTACGAAATGGATAGATGTTTTTTTGGTGTGAGGAAATGCTGAGAAAGGAAGTAAAGGTTACAAAGGGGGAAATGCTGACCACACCCACTTGAAGGCTAGGAACAGGTGATGCTGACCACTCACACTTGGACATGGTCAGAGTGATATAGCAAGGCATTAAATACGAGGACCACACGAATGCTGCTCTCTCTACTTCCTCTCCCACCTCGTTGTACAAGACTGGCTCTGTCGCATGAGTACTTCCTAATAAACCTCCTGTTTTTCAAACTAGTTCTGAATCCATTGCAATCTGCATTAATTGCGTTCCACATTAGAGATGTCCTATAGCACAGTTGCAAATATTGGTGTTTGTAAAGTGAGTATTTTGAAAATTGTTGGGCTAGAAATTATGTTCAGATACGACAGAGCTGGGGGGATTCATGCTGTTATTCAAGTAGTTATATGATAAAATGCAGCAAAAGGTAAAGGAAGTAGAATGGATAATAAATATTTTCAGGAAGAAAAAGATACTAGAGTGGTTAGAAGTCACAAGAAATGGGCTCAGGAGGTGAGAGATCAACTGTGCTCCCTCTCTGTCACTCTGCCAAAGTCACTGCATAGCCACCTGTCCACAGGTGCAGAACAGGAAGAGGAGAAAGATCTACAAACCTCAAATCTCCAGAGAGGAAAGGAGCGGTCCACTCAAAACAGTGTAGAAATGTCAAAAACATAAAAGCAGCAAGAATTAAACCTGTGAAGTATCACTGGAAAAGTTGCTTATTCTCAAAGTTTTTTTTTCATGAAAATGAAAACTAAAAATATAGGAAATAACTAAGACTTTGAAGATTTAGGGAAGAAGCAACATGGGATTAAATAGCAGAGGAACAAACACAGTTAGCTCATATTCCTGTGATTTGGGGGGTTTTATTGACCAATGTAATGTATTACACTCCAGCTTTCGTTCTGTGCTGGGTAGTTTTATGTCAGCTTAACACAAATCCAGTCATTTTGGAAAAGAGAACCTCACCTGAGAAACTGCACCCCCACATCAGGTTAGGTTGTGGGTAAACCTATGGTGCATTTTCTTGATTGATGATTGATATGGGAGGTCCCAGATCACTGTGGATGATGCCATACCAAGGCAGCCGGTTTTGGGTTATGTAAGCAATCAGGCAGAGCAAGCCAGTAAGCAACATTCCTCCATGGTCTTTTCATCAGTTGCTGCCTCTGGGTTTCTGACTTGAGTTCCTGCCCTGCTATCCTTTGATGAAGGACTTTGGTATTGAATTATATGCCAAACAAACTTTTTCCTCGACAAGTTTCTTATGGTTCTGGGGTTTTATGACAGCAATAGAAATTGTAGGTAACACACCTTTCCTCCCCATTACCTGAATAAAAACCAATATAAGGTAACTATATTCTTTTTTCCATCAAATAATGATAGCATAAGCACAAACCATCACTACTATATCCATTATTTCATGAAAAGAATGAACTGATAGCAAAACTCAGGGTGGATAGGCCCTAAAGGAGAGACTGATTAACTCACTATTTTTTCTTATTTTGATGCAGGGATATAGCAACTGTCTGTGGGCTGAAATTTTCTTGAGTGGCAATGCCAAAGGTTGGCATTAACTAGTGTTCTCATAAGATAAACGAGGGTAGTCCAACAACTGTGACATTCAGTTTCTTTGCAAATTTATGCCTGGTTTTTATTTCACAATATGACTAAGTAATTCTCCTCAAAGTCCCTATCAATTTTAACAAAACTTTGGCAAGTTGACTTACATATTAGTTTTAGCTCTGCCTGGCTATTAAAAGCAAGGATCTTAGGATGTGCTACATATAACCAAATCCTTTTCCTAAACCATATATCACTCACAAAATTGACAACATGGAATCAGAGTTTTTCTCAGCACTATTACCTTACTTATAAGATGCTAAAACTTTGAAGACAGTACCCTTTAACTGAAGTAGCAATTTGTCACATTGTTGAGCTCCTGTATTTGCTGAATGACTGGATAATTGCTTTAGTGGGGTTATGTTTCCTAAAACATTATAATTATACACTCCAAACTTCCTGTTACTATTTCTGGAAGTAGGAAATAGTCTTTCTCTTTGACATTTATTTACTCCTTCTTTAGACACATGTGCCATAACCTTACTAACTGTTCAAGGTAATAAAAATGCATAGAACAGCTATCCTACCTTCAGAGATGTCAAGAGTAGTTTCACTCTGGAAATAATACTGGATAATTGCTTTAGTGGGGTTATGTTTCCTAAAACATTATAATTATACACTCCAAACTTCCTGTTACTATTTCTGGAAGTAGGAAATAGTCTTTCTCTTTGACATTTATTTACTCCTTCTTTAGACACATGTGCCATAACCTTACTAACTGTTCAAGGTAATAAAAATGCATAGAACAGCTATCCTACCTTCAGAGATGTCAAGAGTAGTTTCACTCTGGAAATAATTTATGTGATGCTTCTAGCATAGTGCCTTACAGAAACACATTCAATTTTTTCAATGCTATAAATAGTGGTAATTTAATTATTTTAAATCTCAATAGAATAAACACTTGCTCAGAGATGTTTTTGTTAGTGAGAATAAAACCTGCTTATTGCCATTAAGTGGCAATACCCACTCTATTTATGGCAGAGTTCTCATCACTAACAAATGATAGTCAGTATCCCCATGACACAATTCACACAAATTGACACAATTCACACAAATTGGAGGCATAGCCTTATCCACTTTAAATGAAATAATAAATCGGCTTACTGTTGCAAGTCTTGTTGTACTTGCTGTTCTCCTGTGCGAACCCTTCCAGCCGGCACTGAAAGCGGTGCTGCCAAAATTCTTGAAACCAAGGGTTTCTGAGGTTTGTTTCTGGCCGGAGTTTCAGATAATAATCATCAAACCACTTGACATCAGGAGACTGGAGCTTGATTGTAATTCCACCAACAGCTTCTCGCTGATACCCATCTGTCACATCATACCTGTCAGCCCAGCCATCACTGGGAAAACAAACAAAAACAATCCCCTCAGCTTAGAGCAAAAGTATTTCAGGAAGTGACTCTTTCTGGTTTGAGATACTAATTGTAAAATCGCTACTTCAGGACTCACACAGACCCTGCATTATATGCCAGAAGTGACTGTTACCTACCAGCCTGTTAGAAGTAAAAAAGCAAGCAATAGCATGATGGAAAAATCTGGATTTCAGATGCCAGAAGGCAGTAATCTTACCTTGAGTTATAGAGGAAAAGTTAGTATTTTTAATGGAATATTACAGACTGTAAAATACACTACAAGTATCACAATTTGACCATGAATAGTTTTCCTATATATTTAATAACTAAATCAAACCAATTTTAAATATATTCTTTTCATTTACATTACAATAGTCATTAAACAATAATAAAATAAGAAAGGGAAATATTTGCAGAATATACACACTATTCATTAAAATACACTGTGGCATGATATTATTGTTATGTACATGAGAAAAAATTATAATGGTTAAAATACCTTGCAGATAGTCATCTTATTAAATGTTGATTTTTTGATAGTCTAATGTTGAAATATTTATAGACTACAGTGCATATGCTTATTAACAGTCTATGGAACTTCTCAAGTGCATTTAAACATGTTAGAAATTATATATTTTCCTGGCTTCAAGAAATTAAATGATGGGATATCGATGAGAGGGAATACACCCCTTAACTTACCATCATACCAGGACTCTCACTTTAAGTGAACAGAACAGAATGAGGAAAAGTATTCCACGTTTATGTAGAAAATAAAGGAAACATAATAATGGGAATAAAACACAAGAAAAGACATTTAAATAAAATAGTATGTCCTGTAGCAGTTAAAAATCTTTGATTTATCTATCCTCTCGTCCATGGAGCACACAGCTGATGATGGCTATCTTCTGCCCCAAGAGATGCTGTCCTTTTCTTGAAGACATGTAAGTTGTTGTCTTTCAGGAAATATTTCTTTCAGTGAAATGTTGACAATTGAAAAACTAACACTAAATAAGTAAAGAAGTAATGTGAAGTAAGCTGAAGGTTAGAGCAGAGGGGTGCCTTCCCAGTGCGAAGCAGTAGCAGGAAGATGCTTAGTTCTAGTAGCTGGTGGAGGAAAAGATTTGTATTATAATTCACTCTTTACATTACCTATATTATTTTCCTTGGAATAAATGTTTGTGTCCGATATAATCATTGGGCTATAAAGCCAGAACTGGGGAAACAAATAACAGAAAAATGAATCTCAAAATATGATATGCCGTATCAATTCTGATTTAAACATTGATAATTAGGAGTTGTTGCAGATGTCATAGATTACCATTAGTGGATAACAGAGGTTACCCACAACAACCTGAGATATTTCCCAAGACAAAAAATTGGAATGGAAGAAAAGGACATATGTAAACAGAATGATCCAATTCTTCTCCTAAGGCTCTTTAGACAAGATATCATATTAAAAGTTATCTACAGAGTAATTTAAAAAAACTTGTAGCGGATTAGGGAACAAAAAGGAAAGCAGTGAATATGTCCCAGTGTTGGATCTGAATACTTCACACAATTATCTTCTCTCAAGTTTCTCATTTTCAGCTCCAGAAGATGTTATTTAAAGCTGACAAGTTGAAGTGAAGTGGGCTTGTTTACCTCAATCCCTCTCTCCGTTGTTGCTGATGGGAGAGTTTGGGGCTCACTGGCACCTAGGAGCTGCATGGGCGAGCTGTAAACAGGACAGGAAGCTCTGTCTGTCAAACAGAGTTCCCTTCTCCATGGATATACGAATTCAAATTGTTCCTTTGCTTAATGTTAGCTCACTGTTATGTAACACTGTGATTATGAATGTTATATAAAAATGTGAGATGATAATGGGCTCAATTTACTTCACAATCCATTCATTGAATTTAATGGAGTTTGCAAAAAGCTGGTCTTGATAAACTCTCTTGTGGGTAGGGTTTCCATAGCTGAAAAGTATCTGGACTCAAGAATATTAATATGTTCATCTTTGACTTTATTCTTTTATTTTTTTTCTCTGGTATAAATCTCTTTTTAACAATCTAGAAGAAGATGATGTTTTGTCATTGGCCTCATTAGCTCATGATGCTCATGATATAAGTTTAGAATAATTGTGATCCAGATGTTTCCAATTTATAGTAAAATACAAAGCAAGATGGAGTTAACAAAGAAACAGAAAATTCTCAATAACCATCAGTGCCAACAGGTTTATTCATTTTGAACTTATTACGAATGTCAGTCAGGTAAGTTTCAAGAATTTTTTTTGCTGGAAAGGTGCAGTATACAGTAGTGATTGTTACAAATGAGATTTCAGATTTCTCTAAAATGACAGAGCATTTCAAACAAGGAATAAAAAAAAATCTACAAGTAAAATACATGTTAAGGAAAACTGAAATTTACTTTCCTACCACCTAGTGCTGTTTATTGCTTTGAAAGAATGGTTTTTTTTCAACAAATTTACTTTCCTACCACCTAGTGCTGTTTATTGCTTTGAAAGAATGGTGGTCTTTCAAACCTGCCAGTGCCTCATTAATGCTTCGAGTGATACATATTTTAACATAGCAAAGGAAAAATGAGAGAAGGCTAAGGAAATGCCACACCTAAGGTACTTTTCCAGACTTAGAGCCTGTCTGTCCAGCCATCTGTACAAATAAGATCTTTTTCTGCTCACTAGTAGGCATTTTGCTAATCACTTACAATGTATCCCACTTTTTTCTTCCCCAATTTTTAAAATATACAGGAGATTATTGAATTTTTTCTCTTTTATCTTGTTGACTTTTATTATCTGTATTTACAAATTCTAGCCTGGGGTATAGGTCAGCAGCAGAGTACCTTGTGCACAAAAAGCCCAGGGTTTAACTCTCAGCTTTCCCCACAATATATTTTCCAATTCAATACTTTCTACACTTTAATTACCACACCCAAATGAATGTTAGTTTAATTTTGAGTCATCCACAAATATGCAGAGAAGGAAAATCAGAGTATCCTGACATGATATTCCATTTGAGATTAATGAAGTGTCTGTCAGTTCTCACAAAAGGAAGTCTCTTTCTCATAATGTATTTATTCTCAGAAATTCCACATTTATATGGGTATTGTTGGTGTGTTTACTTTCTCACACAGCCCAAGGATAGAACTTGTACATGATGCAGTGTTCCAAAGCACAGGAGAACTGTGATTTATATAGAATACATGTACAGCATATAACTTGCACCCAGGAATGGATAAAATGCTCTGCCCTGGACATGTTATAATAGTGAATTAACTTCATATTAAGAAAGAATATAGTCAAAAAGAAACACACATAAGCCAAGGCTGACAGTTAGTTAGTTGATGAAAATATTGTGACCAGAATGTTAGAGAAAAAAGTCAGCAATTCCTAATTTAGAATTTGCAGCTTGTTTATATAGAACACTGCAGTACAAAATGAGAATTGATGCACATATAGTTTTAATTTGATTTCGTTCTAGTGTTTCTTCTAGCTTTGCTTTGCTTGTAGTAACAAAGTAACTTGGTTATTAGGAGGAAGAAAAGCTTTTTTAACTCACAGAGCAATGTTTAACTAAAAGCAATATATCCATGAATACACATCTGTTCTCAAAGACCCTATTTAGTAGACATTTAAAATCCCTTATTGTCCTAAGATTTATTTTATTTTTAATTGTGTGTGTGTGTGTGTGTGTGTGTGTGTGTGCACACGCCCATATGCGCATATGCACACATGTCACTGCAGGTGCCCGTGGAATCCAGAAGAAGGCATCAGATAACCTCATGGGTGGTTTATGTGCTGTGATGTGGGACCTGGGAACCAAACTCAGGTCCTCTGAAAGCAGCACATGATCTTAGCTGTTGAACTCATACCAGCTCCTTATATTCCTTTATTTCTTTCCCGAAAACATCTAAAAAACATACTCATTCTACAAAATCTCACTTCTTAGTGAATTAAAATTTCTATAATTCAGACTTACAAATTTGGTAGTTTAAATAACTACAAGAAAAGGTTCTTGATCTTAGAAATGCCGTTATATTATTTAGCCTTATAATTACCTCAACATTAGAATTATTTTATCATTAATTACACTAAATTATCTGTAATTTATTATATGCTACATATAATTGTGTGTATAAATTTACATGTATACATAATATATAATAATATATTACATATGTATACACACATAACCTCAGACAAATATTTATAAAATCAGGGCAGCCCTTATAATAATTAGATTCAACATCAAAATTTATTTTGCAAAAACATGGAGAATCTTTAAGGGATACATGCTCACCAGAGTAAGTAAAACTAGTGAAGAAAAATAGTTCCAAATCATCTATTGTTGAATAGAAAAGCTAAATAATTTTAATTTTTTGCTCAAATAGATTCATTTTCTCATTTTTAGAACCAATATTTGTTTTAAGTTATTATGATTATTTTTTATTTCCCTCAAAAATAGAAAAAACACATACAGCACTCAACAAATTGATTGACTTGTCTTTAGTGATAGAATCAATGATGTACTCCTTACAAATCATTGATTTGGTATGGATTTTGAGTGCCTCCTTTGTTTCCTTCATTAAAACCCAGACCACACCTAGCAGGAATCATGAGCTCATTATGTTGACCTGCCTCAATGGGTATCACCACCATTGATCCATTGGAATTTAGTCCTTTTTCCTTCAGAATCAGCATCCTCTTTGCTTTTTATCCTATTGACTAATAAACAGGCAACCCATTAGGTTTCGTCTCTGAATCATCAATTAATGAAAATTACATTCTCTTCTTGCCTTCCCAACATTATTCCTGGATCAATTAATATTCTAAATGTTTCCAAACTCCTAGGCCTTACATTTGCAGTCTCTTGATGTGTGTGTGTGTGTGTATGTGTGTGTGTGTGTGTGTGTGTGTAGTTGAACTCTCAACTTATTTCTTTCCTATAATTAAATAGAGTTCTTGGGAGGCATCTCACTGTGCCATCATGAGA